TCACCAAACAACATGGCTGCAGTTTTGTGCGGAGGTCAACCCCAGCTCATGCTGCCAGGCTTGGTTGCAAGAGAAGTCTGATGCTTCAACCCTTTTGCCCTTCGCCAAACTCGTGTTTCAACAGTAGAGCAGCAGCTGGCAGCAGCTGGCAGCAACGAAGTAACGCTAGTATGTCCAACTGGAGCGGGGTGCGGGCTGTGCTGCGATCCTGCGCCAGAGCCAGGAATCGACGTGTGGCTCGTTTCCTGGGATGGGCTGCTGCGCCTCTGGCTACAGTTTTCTGCTGCCAGTGGCTGAGGGTTGTGTCGGCATCGTTGGCTGCTGCAACGCCGGCAGACTGCTCGAGATATGCCGAGAATCTCAGCACTTCAACCTCGTTCTCATCACGCGGTTTTATGTCATACTGCTCCTCTCCTTCCTCTAATCCCATATCAAGGACACCCCTGCCTGCATTACTAGGCTTCTTCCAAAATCAAACCCAAGGTGAGAGATAGATGCCCTTGCCCTTTACAATCTCCACATCATAAGGCCTAATGACCAACATAGCTGATGCAAATCCTCAGCTTGAGACATCTCAAAATAAACCCTGCACCTCGTCCTCCCAGACCCTGCAGCCCCAAAAAGCCTATGGACCTGAACCCGAAACCCTGCTCACGGGGTAGGGGGGACGCAGTGAGTGTGCTGATACCAATTCCCAGTCATCCCTTTAATTCAATCATGAACTAAGTCCACATGATCCTCCAAGTATGCAGTCAGAGCCAGGGAAGCAACGAGGAGACACTCAGTGTTCGGGACTGGGCCTCAGCTCTTGAGCGGCGGAGATTGGCTTGCCGGGTTTCTCAAAATCATGTGTTCCTACATGGGCTTAGGAATCTCTCACACTGTTTGGGGCATTTTCCCAGGTGACGAGCTGTTTCCCTTCCCAAAAGTTGGGAAGTGCCAGTGCCTTTCCGGATACTGTGACAACACAGCCGGGAAGCCCAGCCAGGCGTTCTGGATGCGTCAAACTCTACTAGCTTTTTCTTCCTCTGCCCGGGCCATTCCCGGCATAATCCACCCACTTTTCACTGTCCACTGACGTGAAGGGAAAGTCCAGAAGATCAGCGGATCTCAGTAGTCCTACACGTGAGAATACGAAAGGCATCCTTCCCGGCCTCAAAACCATCGTAAAGATCCAATCTGTCCTTCTCCTGTGCTGCCATCAAAGCTCATTCTGCTCTTGAACATATTTGAAGCCCAGGATGGCAAGTGCAAGGTGACAGCCACTTTTCCGGGTAGCTCTGCACCCTCGTCCGGGTCCCAGGTATTGCAGATGAATGTCGCAATTGGTAGTTGATTGTAGCGCCCATCGAATGCAAACTCAGCTGGTAGAATGGTACCAGCACACATTCTCAGGAGCCATGCCCTTGCACGCCTTGCCTGGTACTACATTTCCTGAGAGCAATTTTTGGTGACTGTGAGTTCAAGGAGCAGTGGAGGAAGTAGCGGTGCTAGCAGTCGAGACAACAGGATCTGCAGCAGTGGGCATTGTAAGGGTGGTGGTTTCGGTCGCTTTGGCAATGGCAGGTAGTGTTGAGGTTGATACTAGATGCTGAACCTCAACTTGAAACGCATGCGGAAATGCAACTGTTGCAATTCCCACTCAAGCGATACTGCGTACCTCTGTTCTGAGAATCATCATGCCGCTGCCATCGTTTGTAGAAGAGCCAATCAGAATTGAGATCTGAGCCGAAGCGTGCATCATCTTGACCATGCGTGATGTTGCGATGATTGCCACCTTATGCAAGGGTCCCAATCCGGGGGAATGTAAAGAAGGATGATCCTGGTTTTGTCTGTTGGTATTGGTATGGGATAAATGGGGTGCTCATGATGCTTCTGCTTCACCATTGGCTTGACACAATCACCACTGCTAGAGTAGGCTCAGCTTGCCTATTACGAGTCATTATGAGCACAGACTTAAAAGCATTCAGTCTCAGCATTGCTGTCTCATCATGGGCCTGCTAGTTCTTTCAAGCTATGTGCGGCAGGTACACTTCGTTCGGACGTCCAGCCTTCCTGTTGTTTGTTGCCAGATTCGTTCAGTATTCACGTTACGTGTCCCCAAAGTGAGATTCGCCATTGATTGGACTTCCTTTGGAACGTCATTTTGCTGAACATCTTTCCCATGGCACGCCTGGATCAACCCCCACGCTGCAGGATACATCTCTCGGGATCTGAGCATCGTGTGTCATTTGCAGATTCATCTTTCTCAAAACGTTGCCGGCGTCCTGTCAGAGTTCCTCACCATAGTCCTACTCAGAACTACTTGGTCTGTTGGTTTGTGTGTTTCTGTAGCAGCAGAGGATCATGTGTTTGCGAAGACTTGCAGAGGACAGTTGCATGCACTAGTCTGGGACTTCGCAGTCTAACCATTCACAACTAAATCTTCAGGATCGAAATCTTGGCGGTCTACGCAGGGTCATGCTGCTGGATCGAGCAGTATTTGTGCTGATGACAGGATTAAGCACAATCGTAACAATACTGACAACAGTGACAACCATAGCAAGTAAGCCAACAAGGCACAATACAACCAAGTGCCACAACAACTAGAATCACCATAGCGAGAAGGCTGGGAGTAGTAAGGATGGTATAAGATTTCCAAATACCATAAACGTAGGAAGTAGACTAATTCGCTGGTAGTAACCATAGCACTTACATTCATGATGGTACTGAGAGCATTTCTACAAGGAATGAAAGCATTGCCCACGTCATGATATTCTTGCGACTTGAAGTTGTTGTGCAGCTTTGAGAGCCAGGATTTTTTGTTTACAAGTCTCAACGCACGGAGTGCTCCAGTAAAGCATCAGCCATTAGAGGAACCAGAGCTCATTTCATATCCCCGACTTACCTTCAGTCATTTCAAGTGATAACCTACCTTTCTTTAAGCTTTGTCATCTTGCGCCAGCTCCAGAACAGGCAAAGCAATTCCACCTGCTTCGAGCCTCAGAATTACATCTTTCATGTTGCTGGAATTCCACACAAACATCGTGATGTTTGGGGCGAGTAGGCCTAGGCTGCTGTTTGAAAGCACGTTTGGTCCCTTCTCAGGTGTTGTTGTGCTTGCAACTGCGTGAAGTGCGTCTTTGCTGTGGCCAGGGCTCTACGAGGACGGCGACAAGATCCCAGCCGAGGACACTCCTGCCTATTAGAGGTGCTCAAGTCTGAGTGAGTCAGGTTCTATTCTAGCTTCTTGGGCTGTGGACTGCTTGCCCAACCCAGTGTTTCGGGAAGAAGGGCTGAAAAGCACGTGGTGGGACGGTCGGTTATTGTGACATCCACTGATATTGCTTGCATCGTGCCGCCTAGCTGTAGGCATTCAGGCCCAAGCGGAACTTGGCTAGACTGGCTGAGCCATCAAATCGCCAACGCCCGGGACCAGATGAACAAGTTGCCGCATGCTTGAATAGCTGAAGCGGCATTTCGTTTTTTTGGTGGCCTCTCCCCGAAAAAGGAATAATCATGGGCTCCACCAGGAGTATGTTGCGTTACCTCATGTTTGCAGCTGATGTACCTGTCTGAACTAAATGAATCACGTGACGCCAAGGCCGTTCATCTTTATCCTTCTTGCGGCTGCAGCATGTACGTGGTTTGCTCTGGACCGCTCAGATCCCCGCTTCGCCGTGGCGAACCAGCAGTCAGTTATCATGTGTTGGTGTGTGCTATAGCTTGGCGGACAGGCCTTAAAACTTTGATCCCCGCAAAGCCCTAGTTTGCCTGTAGAATTTTTTTTTGTCTTTTCCGTTCCCCTATGTATCCCTAAATACTAGGGACTATAATCCCTAATATCCCTAGTAGCTTCCAGTTCGTCACAATATAGCCCTCTGGCCGAAAGAGAAAGGACAATCCTCCAGGGACAGCAACGACCTTGTTTGCTTGATTCAAGCACTTGAAGGCCTAGTGGAATTAGTAAGTTGTTCTGAATAGGGCTAGGTTTTTTTTTTTGGGGTTATTATGCTCAGAATCTCATGTATGATTATAAGGAGCTTACTTAGTCCACACAACACACCGCAACAATCTGCAAGCCATTCGCAATCAGCAAAGTCTCTCAGCTAGTGAACCAAAACATAGCTCCAAGCAACTCACCTGTGATCTCACTTTTAAGGCTCAGCTGCGCGGGCGCCTTCTGTCCGCTCTTCCGAAGCTCCCAGGCGCGAACTGCCCCCTCGGCTGGCTTCAGCCAGTTCTGAGCTTCCTGCTTGTGTATGTAGAATCACAGAGCTCCTAGAACTTTGTTAAAACGGAAAACGTGTGGTATGGCATTGAATGAATATCTAAAAAGTCGAACTGGACCACAGAAACGAAGGAATGGGTGAAGCAGTCACAAGCTGAAATGTGTTTGTGGCATGACCCCATACGTCAGCAGTGGTAAGTATATCGTAGGACTCCAGACTCGTTCGTGGAGCAGTTTCGACATTGCCAGCAGCATGCCAATCCCAATGACAGAGGGCTGGCCTCCGCAGCAGTTTGCTAGTCAGAAGTTAGAGACCCTCCTGGAAGCTTTCCTCCCGCGATCTAGCAGCCCACGAATAAAACGATTGTACATGTTGGAACCCTTGTTCTTGCAGCCATGACAGACTTACGCGTGCTGGAGGCAATGCATCGAACAACACTGGGGCAGGCGCAGCTCGGGGTCGCGTTCATTTCGAGAAACCTATCTGTTCTGGATGAGAAGCACAGAAAAGCTTTGTTGCGATATGTTGCGATCAGTCGTGGGCTCGCTTCTTCACTCCAACCTAAAGCTGGGGTAGGGGTGAAAGCTGCCCCACCACGTATGAGACTTGGAAGCGTCGTGTCCATTCGTTGTGACCGTGCTTTCTTCTGCTGCTTTGGTTGCATGAATGAAGAGCTTTACACAAGAGAAGTCGCTGGCAAATCACTTGGGTTATTTGATGGATGTCTTTGTGCGTCACAGGAACATAGTCGGATAGAGGTTATTCTAATCATCCTGCTTTCTGGCGCAGATGCACTCAAGATCAATGAGACGAACCTGACGGAGTCTCCATGGCCTGAGGACCTGTTCTGCTTGCACTTTTAGCACCGTTACGGGCATCCCTGGCTGCGCTGGCATACAGAAGAATCAGCCAGGGACGGATGTCAAGCATGGCAAGTCAGGATTACTTCCCGGAGCTAACGGTGACGGAGCCTCAGACCAAGAGTGGCATGCCGATGGTTCGGTACAGCGGCTGCCGCAACCTCAGCGGGAATGCCTGCGGTTCCCCCTTACAACGGTTTTGAGAGCCCACAGATGTACAGTGACTTATGCCAATGCAGCGCTGCTTGGGCATTGCCTTCCATACAGCATGCATACGCAGGTTTGTAACAAGCGTGAGAAGTCACAGGCATATGGTAGTTTCCAACAATACGGGGGGCCCAAATATTGACCAACAATACTATAGTCCTTACTATGAGTAAACCCCCCAAATATACCCCTATTTTTGGGAAACCCTAAATCATGTAATCCCGGTTTGCGTTTCATTTTCCATTTTCTCATGCATTTGATTCCACTATTGGGGTGAGTACATTTTTGTCCCTCTTGGGTTGTGTTGGGAAACCTTAAGCCATATCTTTTTACCCTTTTGGGTTGTTTGGGGAAGCCCTAACCATATCTTTTCACCCCTTTTGGGTTGTTTTGGGAGACTCCCATACTGTAGATCCCTGATTAATAAACCCCTTCCCCTTAACCGGGATTACACTGCAGTAGGGATCCTAATACTACGGCCGTGAAAAGGAGGGGGTTTAATCATCATGGATCTACATGAGGGCAGACAGCGGTGCACTAAGCAAGTAGGTTAACAAGCCCCAACCCATATGGTGACCCTGCTTATCCCGATTATTGACCTGCCTCTTAAGTCCCCCTGACCATCCAAGTAGGGCAGACAGCAAACCTTAAAACCTAAACCTTAGGGCAGACAGCAAAACAACTTCTCGAGATTTGCAGGTCGACGCTGCTCTGAAGAGGTTGCGCAGCATGCAGTTGTGGCAGGTCCACATGAGCTAGATTTCAAAAGTCCCTAAAGGGGGTTGGACAGGGATTTTAGATATGTACATGTATATATAGGTTTAGGGTTTAGGGTATAAACTCCCCGAAGGGGCTTATATAGGGGATTCTACTAGAGGAGTATTACAGGGTTACTAAAGGGGAAATTAGTTTAGACTGTAGCTCACATTATTATCAGCATTAGTACTGTGACTATTATTACAGCTATAACTCTTCATCTCTGACAGAGGTCTGAACATGTCTGAACAGTCATTGGCTTGTGCTCCGTTGAAGCTTCCGTTTGCAACAGTTTATAGGTATGTTCCAGGGGGTTATGTAGGGGTGTATAGGGCGAAATAGGATTTCGGGTTTCCCAATATTAGGGGTACCATAACAATGCTATTGATTGTGCAATTTTAATTGGCATTTAAGCGCCTCCACCCTCACCGAGTGATCCATCCCAGGCTTTCTGCAACTATGCAGGAAACCCCGGATGTGGTGGTGTTGCCACTGGGGGCGTGGTGACTTTTTCCAACCGAAAGCATGCTTGGGGTGCCATGGCTGTTGAATCTCAAGCCTGCTGCACAGCTGTTAGTTCGATCCTCCAGCTTCTCACACAGCTCAGCATGCGCATGCGGACCTGTCAGCTAGCGGAAACACATTACTTGAGAAAGGAAGAGTTGCACAGGTTGCGGAGTGAAGCCTGTACTTTCCATTCCACGCTCGTATGTTCGAGACCTGGCGACGGGGCAGCAGTTGGAGGTTGGACGGGCGCCCCGGAATCGTCGAAGTTGAGACAGCTCTCTTTGTTTGCAGGTTTCATGGGAGCACACGGCTGAGTGTAGCTTCGGCCCCTAGACTGGATGTAAGGGCTTCATCCTATATAGATCCTCAAGTCTCTATAACACCATAACACCTTAGGTGAGTTCCATCGTCGACTACAGCTTATCACTCCTAAGAACAATCACCCATGAGATTGCTTTGCTGGTCATTTGCAACAACAAAGTGTATTTCAACGAAATCCGTACATCAGCAATTGTCTAGAACTATGTATCCCTTATAGGTGCTCATTAGAGACGTCGTCACACAGCCCCTGTCTGAGTGTGTTGGAAGGATACAGAAATAGACCCTAATTTTGCAAACCACCCACAGCCAAACCCTAAACCCCTAAACCCTATCACTTAAACCCTACACCCCACACCCTACGACCTAAAGCCCAAACCCTAAATTGGAATGGGACTCACTTGGAGCTGAGGATGATCTCCGCGCAAAGCCAGGTGTGGCGGGACGTTTAGGGTTTGGGAGATTCTTCAATGTTGGCCTATGTGGTGCAAACTGCAAGGCATGAGTATCCAGGAATAATCCAATTCTACTACTCGTATGTGAAAACTGGCGGTATCAACGATTCCTTGGTCTGCATGTCCTTTAGTTAGTCAAGGCAAGAGAAACAAATAGCATGCCCAGACCCCCGAGGTTATCGGAGCATAGAAAAGTGCTCTCAAAGCTTTCAAAGCGGTATGAGGTATCAGGCTAGGAGTCTCGCTTTGACCCAAGCCAATGTGTGGGCAGGAGACCCGGGGCCCTAAGCCCTGTGTTTAGGCACCTACCAGACCATGAAGCAGATGCTCCATAGCGGTTTTGACGTCTATCGTGCACACGGGCACAAAGGACCTGCTCCTCAGCAGCAACTTAGATGAGAGGAACAGAGTAGCAAGTGTCCCCAGTGCCGTTGTGGTAATTCACCTGTACAGATAAGAACTCGAGGCGCAGAAGCAATGACGGCAATGATTGTTGAAGGGGTTATGAGGGCCAGAGTTGCCGATTCGCATCTTAGGTCCAACAGTGCATCCATTTCTCCTGGGACTGCGCCTGAGACAGTGCAGTATGTGCGCTTGAGCGTTGGTGGTATGCGTTTGGCTGTTTGGCGTCCAAACTTAAGCAGGAAATCCGGATGTTGGCAGTCAATACCACAGACTAGGCCCACAATCTTACTGTAGATCGTGGTGGCCAGACAGTTTCGGTCCTAGTTCCAGATTTCAGCCTGCTATCTGCTATTCAGTCCAGCCTTCCATTCCTGGACCTGTAAATTTCATTCCACAGCCTTGTCTTGCTCATGCCGTGTGGACTTGTGAGCCACAGCTCCATCCAAAGCGAAAGCAGGCGGTGAGCGTGCGCTGGGTGCACCTGCACACCTTCTGCACCGGGACCCGCTTTGACGGCATGCCAGGCCAGCTGGCAGCGTACTATAAAGCCTGCGATTGGGGTTGATTCGAGGCAAGCGCTCCAATTCTGATTGAGTTGAAGCCTATAGTAAGAGCAGTTGGACAGCAGTTGGTCGTACACTCTTGGCTTTTGGCAGAAACTGCCTCAAAAGCACTCGAAGCAATTTTGGCTGTGCAAGTGAAGCAAGGCCCACATAGTTCAAATGAAGGAGAACATGCCGAGACTGATCTGGAATCCAAATTGTTCTCAAGTTGCTGCTGAATAGGGTCACTCAGATCACTCAGGAACATGCTGTTGTCAAGGTATATTGTATATAGATGGCCGCTTTCCCAAAGTGGCAATGTAGCGTGGCATCTTCCTTTAGCTCTTCATTGCAGGCGGCTCCTCACTTTGTGCAACTATGCACAGCCACGACGTGTCTTGGATGTGAGGGGAGGAGCGCTACAGCATTGAGCGATTACCTTGCTACCAAGGATGCGCATAACATCGCATCCCATTGGGCGAGGTAGAGCTCAAGGCCAGCTGTGTGGTTTCAAGCCAGGATTTGACTGGCAATCTCAACTGGCCCTGCGCAGCTTTAGCGCGCACGCATGCGGATGTTGAGCCTGTTCCTAGCTCCTTAAATGTTGCAAAGGTCTGTAACCATCTTAGAAGTCTGTACCTGAAGTTGGATGGTACTTGAAGAGGTGAGATGATGGACGAGCGCTGGGTATGCCGGTCGGTGGCCAGTTTCGGACAGAGAACAGCGTGTACAGAGATTTGAATGAAATGGGTTTTGACTGACCCGCACAATGCACACAAGTCAGCTTGTAACAGTTCTGGCTTGTACAGAATGTTATGAGCCCCCGCACCACCTTAGGTCCCGCCTGCGGTGTACAAGAGGATGTAGCTTCCAAATGGCTTTCAACTTCAAGGCTACTGCCACTGCGACATTTCAAGCGTATCCGGAATCACAACGCGCCCCCAAAACATCAGCCGTTATGAATAATCACAGGCACGGGGCTCGGAATTCGATTTGCTCCAGTTGTGGCCGAATGTCTACAGTGCCTTATTCAGAACGCACCGGTGTCCGAACCTTGGGAACTTGTTCAGCTTGCCTCCGGACGTGGCGGCAACTGTGGAGTTATGTAATTAGATGGGTAAGTATCTCTGCTCCTGGTGGCTGGCCTGAGCCAATCCAGAGCTATTTCCTGCATGGGAGCTCTTCGGAGTGGCAGAGACTGGCATGCCAGACTTGGCTACTCCTGCTAGAGCTGGGCATCATGTTAGATCTTCCTGGGGCCCTGCCAACCTTGCGAATATCGCAGAGGGCCCGCTCGATGCAGGCTGCGGACTGCATGAGTGACAACGCAACTTGCGAACTCATGGAGCCCTACCTTTGCCTGTTGTGCATGACCTCTTGCAGAGGGTGTAGTCCTGGGAGAAATTCTTCCATCATATTTTTGCGCTGAGCTTGTGGCACAGCCATTGTCGTCACAAGCATGGTGTACAAGCGCAATGAGCCTGTACTGTATATTCCCGTGCGCGGGCACATCCTTCAGAACTGGGGGACTCTCGCAAGGTTTCAAAAGGTTTCGTACAGTGACCTGAACCAGTCCAGAGACAACACATGTCCGCAAAAAGGATGCTCGTTACTGAAAGCCGGTGAACTCTCTTAATCAGTGCCTCAGGACTTCTCGGGTAAGCAGGTCTTGGCAACCTTGTTCTTGTAGGATCACACTTTCGCACTGGTGGCCTACGGTGTCGGACTAGCTGCCATGGCCGTCCCTGCCGGGTCTCTCAGCGCAAGGCACAAAAGCCTGAATTCTAACCCGCTAGACGCTGTTGAAATTGAAGCAACGAAAGGCCTGGCCTAGTGCGGCTCGTGTTGTTATTAGGCCGTCTGCTGCTATCTCAGGCCTCAATAGCTCTGGGCCGGCGGCTTTCCCGCGCAAGCGCAGGCGGGTATATGCCGGGCGGCCATGGCCATTTTTGCTTTTTCTGGTTGACGGATTGGACGCCAGAAGGCGGAGGGTAGCACCTTCTAGGAAACTTCATGCCCGATCCATTGTGGTGCTGAACGTGATCAATACCTATGATGGCAAGGATTGCTGTTTCTATCAGACCTGTACAGCTGTGACGTAAAAACTGTTGGTTCTTGCTTTTTGTGGCACACTGACTTCACTTTCATTGTGTACAGGATCGCTGAGACCCAGAGATAATAAAAAAGAGTTCCCAAAGGCCCCCAGAGAATCCCGGGCCACCTCACAAGAGCTCCTTACAGAAAACCAGCATTTACGTGGCTTCCTGGCTTTGTGCAACATGAGCCCGTCATCTTTTTCATGCAAGGGCAAGTTGATTGGCCATGGTGATCAATCAATGTGCCACTGATGTGTCATGAGCTTCTGCCAACCACCGACTGCTGAAAGCTAAGCCGAGGAAGCCGCTCGTATCCTGCTGTGACTAAGAGAATGGATCGGACCCATCCAAATGCTGTGCGGGTAGAGCCTGAAACCCATTAAGCACTGACCGGTGCAACATGGTCTGCATGCCTTACAGGAGCCGGCAGAGAAGTTGCTGACCCAGCATTCCGGTCCAGAAGATTTCAGTGGCGGTATGCTGGAAGGGTCAGGGAGTTGGCGTTTGGAGTCTTTGTTCTCTTGCTCCTCCACTTCCTCTTCGCAGGGTTTCTTGTTTTCTTATAGACGCCAGAGGCCAGGTCGATGTCAATCTCTGGGCAGCGTCAAGTCTCTAACTTGTACCTCCGACGAACTATCCCGGTAACCCAAAAAACTTGCATCAGTGCAAGTAGTCTCGCACTTTCATTCCTGCAACGAATGCTGAAAGCATGAGGGCTGGGACAAGCACGTACCCAACCATTCATCAAGATTTTGTGCGGGCTAGGCTACGAGAGAGGAGCTCTTGGAAGAGGCTCACACTGCTCCTTGCGCCTAACGACTTTGCTTGAAAACTTTTGCCAGCCATCTACACATGCGAGGTGGAGGAGCAGGTGGAGTGAGGAGCCTGCAGCCCAGCAAAATCTGACAATTGCATCCAGCTGCCAGGAAGCCTGTTCTGGCATGGTAGATGCTTGAGCCCCAGTGTCCTGCCAAGGCGACCACTCAAGCCTACTGGGCTACAAGCATCCTCCGCTGGCGATTGATGTTGAGGGCTTTGGATCCACGTTCCCGAGTTGCAGCCAAACTCGCTAAGCAGTGCAAGGCTTGCGCCAGTTTCACCCCCAAGCCCAGAGGAAGCATCTGACGCTCTCAATGCTGAAGGTCTTGCTCAAACCCTCAGCATAGGCCGTGCAGCCCGCTCATCCAATGTTTCCTCTCAAAATTACTAATGCCCACCTGCATTGGTCGACATACGTTGCAAAGCTCTGTCGACAGTAGCTCGAGGTACTCTTGTGTCAAAAGCACCTGGGTGCGCTCTCCTGTAGGCCTCCGACACATTGGTGCAACTTGCTCTCCACTCCTGCGCATGTAGGCCGACGCAGGCAAGAAATTCCATATTCCAACCGGTAAAACAAGCAAGATGTGGCTTTTGAGCACCTGTTCTGGTGACAACTTGTTTGATCAAGAGTCCATGTTTACTCGTGATACTCGTAATGGACGGCTGCCTCAGAACCCTAGAGCATTCTGGCTCCGTGAGTGGTATTGCAAGGCATAGTGTCGACTTTGCATTTGGTGATTTTGGAGTGAATTGCCTCTGATGCAGATGGCTAAGCCGAAGGCTGAAAATTCAAGGAATGATGCTATCCAACTGGCAGCATTCCATTTCTGAAGGCGATCAGGTTTCTGAGCATGACAGCACTAACGTCTTCTGCGAGTAGTCTTTGTCGTCCCACGGGTCTGAGAAAATGGAAAGTAACCAACACAATTCTGGCGATGACAGTTGGAGCTGTAGGCCGCCCCAAGACGGGTTGGACTGGTAGCGGGCTGACACCGCTGCGCATCCCGGCCCGGCATGAGTCAAAGCAGCTGCTCTTGAACTCCTCCTCTGCCCACATGCACCTACATAGCCTTTCTCTTACTTGGGATGCATATTGCTGAACATTTGTTGTCCGGAGAGGCTGCCTTTCTAGAGGGGCCTTCCTCAAGTGTGACCAGCCTTGACGTTCTTTCATGATTGGGACCATGGATTTCTTGATTGCCACTTGAAGCAGCTTGTCCAGCTTAAGCCATTAAATTGAGGACTCAGGTCCACCATGGCCAAGGAAACTCAAATATCATGACGCTGATGCTGATGCGGCACGTTGTGCTTAGTCCCTTTATTTGAACTGCATTTCGCCTCAGGATAGAGACTCTTGCAGTGCCACGAAGGATAAGGTGTTATCCTGAAGGGATGGCCACATACCCCTGTCTCTGTGAGTTTAGAATGCCCCTGGAGGCCCTGGACCGGTTCTGGACGTACCACCGTCGGAGCCTCAATCCACAAGGTCATGCTAGTCAACGTAGGAGGTCAACTTGGCCTGACTTCAGGCCTCCCGCGCCACCGGTGCTGGGCTTAGTAGTGCTGCGCAAGGGTTGAAGCTGGTTGGTTGCAAAGCATTTTCATCTCTTGACTACTTTGCACTGGCAGGCGGACCTGTGTGTTGGCGTGATCCACCAGAATGTGGGTGGCTCAGTTTTGGAAAGTCGCGCGCTGATCACTGTTCAGTTTGCAGTCCCACTCGTCAGCATCAGGCAGATTCTCAGCGCAGTCCTTGCAGAAGTCAACCATATCCAACTGAGCAATAGTCTGCTTCTTCAAGCATTGGAGCAGGACTCAACAAGCTGCATTCAGTACTCCATCGTTGCAGTGCTGAGGAGATTATGTGAAGACATTGCAAATGTCCGACAGTGGCATGTTGCCAACCAGGTGTTTTACTTTGAAGGGAGGCAGCGACGGAGAATTTACCAGGCCAGGGCTGGGAGAGTTGTTAGTTTCTGCTTTGCTGGAGTCTGCGGTATGAATAGATCCACAAGAGTTTCGCGGCTTGGTCTTCAGTTTAAGAGGCAGATGTCCCCTATTCCGAACAAAACTTGCTGTGCTGCTGAATGGACCAGTACAATCCCCCAATCCATCACAACTTACGACTGTCTAATGGGTTTGAGCGTCTAAACGGGTGGGGAGGAGGAGATGCTATGGAGCCAGACATGGATGCCTTGCCGAGGTCTTTACTTCAACAGCCCTTTGCACATGCTTCAGCAACGTACTCCATGACCTTCTGTACACATAAACACCTGGATACCAACGAAGCGAATTTGAGGATCCATGATGTAAAGACACGGCAAAGCAGAAAGACAGATGGTCAAAAGGATGTGGAGCTCCACGCGCTGATCTTGACGCTCATCCTCACTCTTCTTCTTGCACCCGGGCATGGGCCTTTGTTCAGGTGACCAGGGTGAAGGCCAGCAAGGCAGGATGGAGGGAGATTTCGGAGGGATGCGAAGTCTGATGCAAAGTAGCTTGTTAGGTGTAGTGCGAAGCAGGGTCTATCGGCTGCCGGCATGCTAAGAGATTCCTTCGCTTTGATCTGCAAAGTCAAGCTTTATGTCATTGCACAATGTAGCCCCTTTAGAATTCCTCCACGCCCACTTGGGAACTTGAACACTTTCCCCACTCGGACTCGCAAAGATGCTAGTAGTCAGATTTAGGTTATCTCATGTTTTGTAAGGGGAGTGGCGGGACATAATGGCAGTACTGCATGGCACCGATGGCTTCGTAGTTAGTTGGGGTGATTCAGGGGCTTCAGGGGGAAGGGATTATACAAGATTCCTGCCATACGATTATGACCATTGCATTTCTGCAGAACATATGCAGGAACAGCAGCCCTTGGAAGTTCTCAAAGCCAAACCATGTGGAGTAGCACGGGTATGGTTGTAGTCATCATGTAAGAATGAGGATCATGATCTAGAATTACCCTAACTGGTCTTCAAGCATCCATGATTTATCACGGGGACCGGCATGATTTTCCACCTGGGCTCCTAACATCCGGGGGAGGGCGGGTGTAACATCTTGGAGGCTACTGTGCCAGTGTTTGCGCAAGCAAAGGCGTGGCTTACTGGATCCGAGCTATTCCGATCAGTACCCCACCCACAGGCAACCTGGCTGGTTTCCTTTCGTGTTGGTGCTGATTGCTAGTGTGAGTAGTTGCAAGCCGCTGCGCACTATGCTGCTGCAAGGCATCGAAGGAATATTCCTTTCCTTCTCAGTGCGCACCTGAACCACAGCGCCAACAGGCATTGGGTGTGAATCCAGTCATAGGCTGAGGATATGCCTTCCCGAACACCAAACCCTAAATGCAAGATGCCAGGCAGAATACGGCTTGTTCTTTCATAGCTACAAGTTTTTTTCATGTTAAACACGTTCACAATGTTTTTGGACTACTACACTGATGTGTATGCTATTCAGGCCACCGCTTTGGAAGTATTGGCCTTGAACAGTCTGCAGAAGATGGCTGTGCCTCAGAAGAGTGGTCCCCTTGAATCTCTCTTAATGACTGTTCTTGTTCCGGCGCCGCAACTATGCGCATGTCCCTTGCCGGAGCTTCAGCTGGTCCAAGCTTCTGCGCCTCCACGCCATAGCGGCGAGGCAGAAGGCCTGTGGATGAAATGTCTGCAGTTGCACCAACTTGACTCGCAAGGCTACAAACAAATGCCTGTGGCATAGACGTGCATAGACTTGGCATAGACGATGCCAGCAAAAGTAACAGTGAGAATAACAATGGCAGTGATTGCGAAATGTCCGGCACTTGTTTCTAGCAGAACTTTCCTGAGTGCACTATGACTATGATGTATGGGTCACGCGAAAGCGCAGATATTCAAGCTTCATGACGTGGTAAGGGCCAAAGGATGTAGCTTTTTCGTTGCCACATCTGAATTAGCGCTTAGGACTTAGGATGCTTGAGGAGTCGCCCGTTGGGACATGTGGCTAGAATCGGTTCTTGAGCAGGGAAACATTCCTGGGATCTTGCCCCTACAACACCTGTTGCAGAGTTTTGAAGGCGATGCTGAAGACTCAGGGAGGTTTGGTCCCTTGTTTGCCTTCACCTCCTGCTTGCAAACAGTGATCACCAGGCTGTTTTGTGAGTTGTTTTCGTGTGCGTTCTGCCTTCAAAGTCCCAGATCAGTATAAATGTTGGCGTTGGCTGGTCTATGAGCTCAAGATGGGGCTGCAAGCCACTACGCCTTCCTGAGAAGATTACATGATCTTACAGTCCAGGAGCCAATTTACAGCCTCCAGCCTTGGAGTTGGAGCGTGGCCATGCCTTCCACCGAGCTTCAAACAGAGCGCGAAGAGAGGAATCCTTTCGGACAAACGCAGCGTGTCGGTCGCGCTTTGGGCCTGGGAGCTGTACACATCCGTTTCTCATGCTTGTGCTGAGTTGCCAGCAGGCGACCGAGGCCGTCAGCGGTTGCGAGGCAAGGGGCTGGTGCGGTCTGTGCGCCAGCACAGAAATGTTGTCTTCTTGGATGTGGGCGACCCCGTGAGCAAAGCAGAGGCTAAAAAGCTGCAGGTTGTTGTGCCGCTCGAAACAGCTGGAGTGGCCCCCACAGAGCTTGTGAAGCCCGGGATTTTACTAAGCATTTGTGGATCTCCGGGAAGGACACGCAGAGGTCAAGAATCGCTGTTTGCTGATTGGTTGTCGGTGGAAGGCATAGCCACTGCATCACCCTCCTTGCTTGCTGCGTTGTTGAGCTGTGCTTTGACAGGTGTCGTGCGACGTAGAGATCTGAGCCGCTGGCTTCAAGTCACAGAGGGCGAGCTGGAGGAGGTGCTGAAAAGGGACGAAGATGGGCGTCGCGGCTTTTGCTCTCGCCGTGCTCGATATCTGCAAACTGGACGGGAGCAGCGTGCACGCCAACGCCCACGGAGCGTGACTGCAGAGGAACACCAGGTGCTCAAGACGTACGGGAGCTGGGCAGAGGTTCTGCGGCGCAACACGGTGCCGCTGCCCTCGGACACATCTCTGCTGGGGCCGGCTGATCCTGTGGAAAACCTTGGCGGGATCCACGCGCACCTGAAAGATTATGCCAGTCGCAAGAAGAGGCCACAGGTTCGAGCTATGACAAAGCTTGTCGCAGAGCTTCGCGAACTGCGGAAGCAGCCCTGCGAGGTGGTCGACGTTGGCGGGGGACGTGGCGATCTGGCTTTGGCAGTGGCTGCATTGGTGCCGGGCACGCGGGTGTCGGTGGTCGAGCAATTCGCACCCTCAGCGCATCAAGGCTGCAATCGCGCACGCGATCTCAACCTGGATGTGGACTTTTGTATTTCCAGCGCAAAATCCTTGTCAACTGTGTTGGAGGCCCAGAAGCGCCGCCCGATTGTGATGGCACTGCACGCTTGTGGTGGTCTCACAGATGTTGCTTTAGAAGTCTGCGCAAAGCTGCGCCTGCCTTTCTGCATTTGCCCATGTTGCTACGCGTCGTTACCTCATTTGCGAGCAAGAGAGCTTGCACCTCAAGAGCAGGTTTTAGAGAGGCTGGCTGAGAGCAACGGCCTGCTGCACGAGACCTCACAGTCCGCAGTATTCGCTATCAATGCGATACGACTTCATCATTTGGACCCCGTGCAGAGCAACTGGAAATCGACGCCAAGCTTACCAGCATCCTGGATCGTGCGGGCGTACACTTTCCCTCGACAGTTTTCATGCAGAAATCTCATTCTTTGGGGACATCCGCGCGAATATGGGCAACAGCAGTCAGAAAATCAGCTTGGATCAGCTGGGCTCACCGCTAGTCTGTGTAAACATAAAGGTGCAAAACTCATCAAAACAGTGTGAGGCAGCAGCCTGGAGCCCCTTCTTGGTGTGAGTACGTGTGGGTGCAGGCGTCATGTATGGGCTTCGCAGCATCAACAACATGTACTCGGAGCATGCTGGGCAGCGCCCGGGGCCCAGCCCAGGATTCGTGTTGCCTGGTTTGCAGTTCCAGAGGGGCCAGCTTGAAGTGGTACAATGTGGTTCAATACTTGCACTACTACATTTACGGCAGTGAAATTACACCCCTGGCAGCTTCACCTCACACGGCCGTGCCTGACCGGGTTAGATGTAATTGCTCACGCGCTAGCAGCTGGCTGTGAGAACCTTCTTAGCCTTGCATTCAACGTTTTTTGTTTGCCGACATTTAGGCAGCGACTTCATCATCGTCGGCCACCCTGAGTTCCAGCAGGGCAAGGTGTCAGGGAGGGCTTGAACGTAGTTGGTTTCATATGCGAAGAAGAGCTATGGTCTGCATGAACATCCTACATGATCTACATTCTTCCGCACAGGTTAGGGCAAATCCAAGCGGGGTAGGGAAGCAGCAGCTCACCACAGAATTCTGCAGAACGTGGCAAAGAAACATATTGATATAAATGCCAAGACAGCATTAACATTCATACTACATTCTGATACTTATTAATGCCAATAATACCCGCTTGTTTGCGGTGCACGGGTCCATGCCCCGAACCATCATACAGCTACTTCAGGTTGTAAAAGGGGTCTTGCGTGCTGTGAGCTAACAAAGGTTGCGGTTTCCCTGATATTATGAGTCGCCTAGTCTTGTGGTCCTGCAGACCCTCCCCCCGCATCCCTTCCACCTTCCCGGGATGCCGTTTTGACCGTTCAGCATTGTCTCTTCATGCCAGGTCTAGGGCTTGCTGCCCCCAAGCTTTGCCCAATCGCTCCCGCACAACACGCATGAGTGATTTACACAGAGGTGAGCAGAGACAGCTTCATCAGACACAACTAGTAATCCTGCAGCCAAGATAGGCGCCCATGGGTGTCAAACAAAGTGGCCAGCCTGGCCAGCGTTGCAGGTCCGTAGCACCACGCGGACTTTCCCATCGTGGGACATGAGGTGCATTGGGGCCACTGAACATGCTTTTGGGGTGCGTGCTGTTGGCCATGCGGGCAGTACGAGCCAGGAACGCCACGACTGCTGTATTACCAGCAGCAATCGCCATGGCATTTCATGCCCTGATCCATAAGTCTTCCAAGAGGGCTAGGTTAGTCCAGGGGGCTAGGAATACAAAGCTGTATGAGAGGGTAGGCTCCCCGTGACATATGGCACAAAAAGTGTGACAAGCCAGAGCAAGCCATCAAGTTATCATCATGATCGTGCTCATGGTGACCATGGTGGTGCTGATGGTGGTGATGGCGGTAATGATGGTGCTGGTGATGGTTATCATTGGTGGTGGCGGTTGTGGTGATGATGGTGATGGTGATAGTGGTTGGTGCTGAAGACAGGAGACATCCATAGCTGCTATCATCAACAATTTGCGTTGCTACTTGAAGTTCATTTTGTTTACACCATTTTCCGGAGACAACCCATCTTTGTTCAAGCAGCCGTCCTGGCTAGGCAGATTCCAAGCAAGCCGGGACACAACATGGCCAAATCGCGGCTGGGGCCTTGGGAGGGCAGCGGCTTCTGCTGGAGCCTTAACTTTCTGTAGTGTTAGGAAACTACATGCTGTGTGTGCCAATGCGCGAACCAGAAAGCATCAGAAATACTGCTAGTTATGAAACTGACAGCAGCAAGGTCCTCATGTTTCATCGTCCTGACATTTGAACGCTTTGAATGGTGGTATCCATGTGATGCTGAGTCAAAAGCAAGCCCGTACGAGAAAGGATCCTTGTCCCTTCCACACGCTTTCAATCGATCATAACAAAGGCCTGGATGTGTATTCCTGTACGTAGCAGTGTAGCTTTGGGCAATGTAACCTCTTCCGCTGAGGTTTTTCTCGTCATTTCTACGTTATGAGCAAGCAATCATTGATAGATACAGGTGAACATTTCTTTGTCGCAACTCCGAGACCTGCTTTCTCCCAGACGAGTCCATTTGGGGCATCCTAAGCCCTCTGAGTTCTGGACGGGTTTGTGTGCTTTTCTATATCCTCCATATCTCGATAGTCATCCAACATGTAGTCAGCATGTTAACTGCAACGCCTCAAATCAACAATCTGCTCTGTCAGATCTGGCTTTGGCTCGGCAAGCGCCTGCTGCAAGAAGTGCAGCTTGTACATCAATCGGGCGCGCGGTTTTGTTGTGCGAAGGCTTGGATGGACAACGCAGGCACCATCAAGCGTGGAGGCCCAACACATAGTTGAATGGGACCCTGACATGTCATTTACAGCGGGCTGGCGGGAGCTTGCTCCAAATCTGCAGCCCCCACGCAGGCGGCGCATGAGACAAGCCACTTAGAACGCTTCGCATTCTCACCATGCCACCTGGAAGCTGGCATGGTAGCTCTTCATCTCACGGGTTGCTGGCAGATGATGTGCCTTTCAGCAAGCATCGCTGCTCATCCGTCAGCTATAGCAAGGCCCCTGATACCGAAAGACGGTGAGGGGAGAGAAGATAGAGGAGTAGAGGAGGGAGAGAGAGAGAGAGTTTGTGTACACTTCCCCATAACATGTGATATCCATGTCCTGCCAATATCGGACAATAATAGGTTTACGCAAGGACCATGAAGGGTGGACATAGGGGTCCCCTTGGCGTTTGAGTCTAGTCACTATACATTCCCTGAAAGGAACACATGCCCATTACCTTCATGGCAAAACATGACTGTAGCTCATGTGACATGAATGTCCTCATCGGGTCTCGTGCGGGCTGGATCCTTCCTGAGCTTGGTCTTCTTGCTGCCGGCGCTTGTGCCACATCTGGTTGTTAACTATCAAATTAACACGCGTAGAAGCAGTGATGGCCCTGGGCCAATGAGATCAAAGTAGATGCGATGACCCTCAGTCGCTGAGGTCAATCCCAGCCTTGGTGCGACAGCTTAGTGTCCGCTCCTTGCATCATGCCTTCGGAGAGTTCGGTGCTTGTGAGGCAAGGAAGCTAGAGTCTGACAGACTCTTAAGGTAGAGCGGCGTTTCTGCTGATCTAGTTCATGCAAATGCGCACTCTCTATACACATTAGATCTGCAGCATGCTGCAATACTGCAAATTTCACACGCATGCAATCGTACAGCTAGGTAAAGGATGAGTTGGCCATGTTGCCCGACAGCAGTGTCTAAGGCCCCTGGTCCAGTGGGCAACCTGAAGGAACGTGCGCAGGGAGCCCTGGAAACTCGGAATACCTCTGCAGGGCATGAGCTGAATCCAGGCTGGCTTAGTCGTGGAGAAAGGTCTACAAGCTCCATCCTGCAGCTCTCGTTCAGATTTTGGCGCTCGAGAAGCTATCTTAGGATTGCTAGTCGTGGCCCTATTAGAGACCTCATCATACGGACGGTGCTATCTGCCTGGCATTTGAGTTTCTCAAAACCCCAACATCCCCGGTTTTTATCAGAGCCTCCTATCTTGACAATCCACATATTAGGATGTAATAGAGAGAAGGAACATGAAACAGCTAGATTGCTAAGTATCCATGCTCCATAGCTGCTCAACCTGCTCTCACATGTAGGCCCTTGTTCCAAGGTTGCGGAGGAGTGGTTCCGGACTGGAGGCTTGCAGAGCTCTGTAAACCCATAGCAACTGAGTAACAACCAGACTAATGATCCTAATCAAATTGCTGACGAGACAACCTCTGGTCTGGAAGATTCAATTATGATTCCTGTTGAGGATGTTCTGTTCATGTTGCTTGGAGTTCCGTCTTACACTTGTGGTTTTGAGTGGATTTTGGGCATCAACAGCCTTGGATCAGTGCCTGGTGAGACGTGGAACTTCCAGACTAGGGGCCAACTGTACAAAACAACTGCAGTCCTAGACGGGAGCGTCTGAACGAGTTTCAGGGGCAAACAGGAGTCCAAGCAAGCCCAAACCGCGCAGTTATGGGAGTGCCTCGAATTGATGGGTCCTGTGGGGGCCGAACACCTGTGGCTTTGTGCTGAGTTCGTGTCCCAACATTAAGCTCGTGCTCGGCTTTATGCTCACTTGGGTCGCTTGGGCTTTTGCAAGTGAGGGCTTTAATTTCTGCAACTATAGCACTGCAGCCTTATGACAGGTTCTCCCTGCCAGTCCGCGGGAGTCAGTCGCAAGCAGCTTCCAAACCTTTGAGCAGGCTGGACCAGGGGAGGCGAAGGTATAAGTAGGGGAATGGCTGAACAAGAAAATGCTGGGTGCCTTGCATTGAAAACCAGGTTCGATTCTATTCCACACTTTTAGTTGGTTTCCGCACTCACAATTTGCGAGATGCATTGCACCGAGGCGATTGGAAGCAAGTTGGGATTCACGCTGTTGTCCCTCATTGTAGGTGCCAGCCATTTGTTTTCACAGTACATATGACAACTACACCACATCTTCACGGCAAACCTAGAAACACTTTTGAATTCTGCTGGCTAGACTTCAGTCAGCATGACCCATGCCTTGTACCAACATGCAACTTGAGGCGCTTGCCGCGATGGGCAAGCATGAGGAGGCTGCAGTTCTTGGCTTGGGCTATTGCTACTATTGTTGTTTTAATTCTAGTCATCACTATTAATACAATTTTCCCTTGCTTGTAGGCTGAAAGACATGCATAGGACAGAGAACAGGCACATGAAGAAGCGATTGACCTCTTTTGGATGTTGCTGATGTAAAAAAGGCCGTGGTTATCCGACATAGGAAGGTTACCCAAAGCAAGCCCCGCGACTTCAACACCAACATCGAGTAAATATTGGGAGGCTCCAAGATCAATGCACGGTGGGTGAAATACCGAAGGTCATGCAGACTTTTCTTGTTTGCTTCAACGAAGCATGTGCGAAGGAAGCCAAATTCTGCCGCGAGCAGCGAATGCGCACAGCGGCGAGTGGCGGACCTGGTTGGATGCTGTCATGAGCTATAGTCTAAACTCCTTAAAGGGGGCTAAATAAGGGATTATAAAAGGGAACTATTTTAGGGGTAGTTTCTAAGGGGGACACTAGGATAGTTTAGCTAACATTGCATGGCTTTCGCATGCTTTCGCCAAAGTGCTTCCTTCAATCAGAGGATCCTTGCAGGAGACCGTGAGAGGAAATCAAAACATCCGTGTGACCAACTGCATGTCGAGTGATTCATGATTTCCAGGGCAACACCATTCGCAAGCTCTGGATCACTTTCACACTCGCGGCAATTGAAGTTCGGGGTTACAAATAAAGTTTCTGGAACAAAGGGAAGGGGTTTCCTGTGGACAAGTTATTCATTTATTGAGTTCTGGGACTGTCAGTATTTGTGACCTGGCCTTCTTCCTTGTCTGAGGTTTTGCTTGCGCCAGGGGTCATTCTGCTACGCTGGGAGCTTAAAATGCCTTTGCCTGGAATATGATCTCTCGGAATTATCTTGCCCAAGCTTGCTGGTTCCACTGTGACTGTCAAACCCGAAGCCGGTTTGCCTGCCGATGCCTGCAAATCGACCAGGTGCCGAAACTTCGCAACGCTTCACCGCGAGGTCAGTGACATCCGTGATCAGCTCGAGGTGAGACCCTGCCAGGGATCATTTGGGGCCGAGACCTTCAACGCATTTCGGTCCACACGTAGTTCCAAATTAGATCGGGATTGCCAGAGAGACTTGTGTGAGAATCCGTGTTACGATGGTACCAAGGCTGCCCCTCTCGTAGAACTAGAATCACTTCCCAAGGTGTGGGTCAGGGCACCGGTAATCACGGCGACGAATGCCGAGCATGAAGATGCCAGAGGACCTTCCGCCTGACTCCTGCCTTTGCAATGGATGCCAGGATCCATCAGCCCGAGAGCGGATCATGGCGCCCGGAACTGAACGGCAAAAGCAACCCAATGGAAAAGGGAGCACAGTCTTACCCTTCAGGACGGATGCATGGAAGTATTATGCGGCGCACTTGGAACAGGCTCGCCTGCCTGTCAGCTTTCTTGAGGGTTCCCCTGTGCACCGGTAGTTTGAGGGTTCTAGTGGATCTGCAGCACCACAGTATACCACAGTTGCACTCCATCCTCTGGAATTCTGATCGACTGGTGTTGAATCAGATATTGCTCCGGGTGACGACATCCAGATTCGTACTACATTTTCAGCAACGAAGATGCAGCCCTGCAATCTTTCGGAGGAATCATCCGAAGCTCAAAGCTGGCGCAAAACTGAATACTGAACGATGACGTCTGACACTCCTGCTATTTCTAAGTCTAATTGGTGCAACCATCGTTGTTTGGCGCACACCACTCTTCGCAGTTTTTCCTCGAGGTATGTTTCTCAACAATCGTTCCGCCATCGTTCCTTTCTGGAAGGATGTCAACTTGACAGGTCAGAAAAAAGGGAACCTTGTTTTGCAAAGTGCATGATAGCCCTCCACATTAGCTTCATGTACAAGTCCGATAATTCAATCAAACGGATCAGCCCAACATGGGCGCTCTTCTGTTTTCGCTAATAGATCCAAAGATACCCTCGTTTGGAGAAAGTTCATGCAACTGTCAGCTCTGGTGGGACCTGTTTGTTAAAATCTCCCCCAAGATTAAAACCCCCAGCCTCCCAACCCCCTAGGGTTAAGCATTCCGATTGTGGTAAAACCCTAAACTCTAAGTAATAGTTTCCATTGTATTTCCCATTATCCCATTCCCCAATATTACCCCAATGGATACCTTTATTCCCTACAATATACTTGGACTATCTAAAAATGGTGGGGGTGGGGGGTTTTAGCATCAATCCCTGCAGTTTTCATTTTATGTTCCATTCTCCCAATATAACTCCAATATATTTTAGGCCTAGCGGCAAGGGCCGGCAACGCCGCCGCCAAGCACTTGGCACGTGTGGCCTGTCAAGACGCAAATTCGGAACCCAAAAAGACCCCGCGATGCTCATGATGC